TTGTAGGCTCCCTTTAGGTACTGAAATGCTGCAATGAGGTCACCCCACAAGCCCAGCTCCCTCAGCCTGTCCTCATAGGGGAGGTGCTCCAGTCCCCTGATCATCTTTGTGGCCCTCCTCTGGACCCTCTCCAACAGCTCCCTGTCTTTCTTGTACTGGGGGCTCCAGACCTGGACACAGTTCTCCAGATGGGGCCTCACAAGAGCAGAATAGAGGGGAACAATCACCTCCTTGTCCCTGCTGGCTACCTCTCTTCTGATGGAGCCCAGGATAGCTCGTTACCGGCCTCCACCTGGACATGGAGCCATTGATGACCACCCTCTGTCTGCGGCCTTTCAACCAGCTTCTTATCCATCGAGTGGTCCACCCATCAAATCCACATCCCTCCAGTTTGGAGATAAGGATGTGGTAGGGGACCATGTCAAAGGCCTTGCTCAAGTCCAGGTAAATGACATCGGTAAATGGGTTTTGCTGTTTGAAAGGGTGGAAGGGATCTGGGCAAAGAGGCAGCACTTTGCTGGGGGCAAGGGAATGGCCTACAGATGGGAAGGAGTGGATTTCAGGAGTGAAGGAGTTCAGGGGAAAAACCCACAGTACCACAAGGGACACTCACTTGGAAAAGAGGCAGGAAATGTCCCAGTCACTGTGCAGGCAGGGAAAGAAACTACAGGGCAGGGAGAGAGGACCCCAGACACAACGGACGGCCCGAGGCAGCTGCAGGAAGCACCCACATTTGGAAGCCAGCTCAAATCATGGGCACATCAAAGCCTTTGGCAGACCAGAGTGATGCAGAGCAGACATCACAGCTCCCATTCCCAAGCCCTCAGCACACATTACATGTGCAAGCACTCATCATCAGCCTTCCTGTTGCCAATCCTGGGCCTAACTTGGCAGCCAGCATCCACACACTGCCTCAGTCATGAAGGGCTTGTGGTAAATAGTTTCGACCCCATCAGTTCTGGTTTGTGGGCCTGGTATACAGCAGCCACACGCTGCCACCTCCCTCTCAGCACTGCCACACTGCTGCCCTGAGCTACACACCATCTTAGCACCTCAGTGACGGTTTCTATCTGATGATCCATTCCTATAGCTTCTCTCAAATAACCCATACAAATAATAGATCAGACATTCCTTTTCCTGGGCCAAGCTGAGCTGCAACTTTTAGAGGACAACTGCCACCAAGCCTTGCTGCACGCACCCCCAGCTGTGATGCTTGCTGAGATTTCAGCACCAAATCCTCCTGCTCTGCGGCAGGTACCTGGTAGTAACCGTTCTTAATTTATTATCTGCAATATTCTTCTCTCTGTGATTAAGACTCGAGCCTACAACACTTCTCATAGGGGTGTAAGCCCATTTCTGCACCATAGGAAGGGCCTCTCGAATTGTATGAGCACAGCAGTTCCTCAGGAGGCAGATTTGACAGCTTCATCCCAGACTGTTATTGCTGTCACTTCTGAGCCAGTCTGATATTTGGACACAAGACCAAGGGCACAGCAGGTGCCCAGAGGAAGGGGTTGGCAGAAGTCACCATTTGCTGCACGGGGAGGGTCTTGGAAAAAGACTGCCAGGTGAAAGGAGGCACGTGGGGCTGCAGCAATATGGCTCCTATGGCACATGGGCAGGGTGTATTTGGGGGTGCAGAACCACTGCAGAGCAGCAGCAGTGCAGCCTCTGCCCCCAGAACAGCTCACAGCTGCTTCGAGGGAGGCACAGATTCAAGCAAGGTTTAACTGAGCACAAGCAGACTGCAGGAAATGAGATGATGTTTCTCTGTCAAGCCATGCAAATAGCAGCAGACAGGTGAAGAACTAGAGCCAGGAACAGGCTGGAAGCCATGGCTCAGGTTGCATCCCCAGGGGGGCACTGATGCTCAGCATTCTTCCACTGTGCTGGCAGCAATAGTCAGCCCTGCAGCAAAGAAAGTCCAGTTCTCTGTTGCCCTCTGATACCATCCTGCACCAAACCCATGCAGGGCAGGGTGGGAAGCATCCTGTCACCAAAGGAAAGCACTTTGGAGAGGACCTGGCCAGGAAGCACCAGGTGTTCCGCAGCACTTTCACTGGCCAGCAGGGCTGTGCAGCAGGTGCTGGGCCTGACCAAGGGACTGCCCTACCTGCAGCACAGCCCTGGCCACGGTGTGCAGATGGCTCACTGCACTGAGCTTCAATCTCCACAAATAAGGTACAAGGAAACCTTAAAAACCCTCAGATCGGCCTCGGATTGGGTTGTTCTGCTCAAGCAGCAGGGAGGACCTGAGCACACCATACCCAGCTCCTGCCCTGCTTTCCCTAAGCCCAGGGCCAGCCATGGTGACCCTCTCTCCATTCCCCCTCAACCTTTCCAAAGCACCACCTGTGCACTGGAGCAGTTGCCTTGACCCCACAAACCATTCAGACTCTGGAAGGTGCAGCCTTCCATCCAGAGAGCGGACTTACATCAGCAAACCCATGAATGGGCATGAACCCACGCTCAAAAAGAGTAACAAGGGAGGAATAACAGCCATAAAAACCTGCCTGGGAAGCGCAATGCACCTGCACTGAGGGGAGCTCACCTCTGCACACTGAGGGTCATCTGCTCCATGCTGACCCAAGTCATTTTGCTCTCCTCAGGTCAGTTCCAGCCTTGGGAGCAAGCAGGCTCATCCCCGCTCCCTGAAAGAGTAGAGGGATAACATCTGCTAATTCTTTGGACATACAAAGGTTTTGTAATGCTTCCTGCATGTGTTTGCACAATTTGCTATAAAGCTTTGGAAAGAAAGGCCAAAAAACCCCATTCCAGATGCTTCCTTAATTCAGCCCACTAGATAGATGCTTCAGAAACAGTTATTTGTAATAGGGCAAACGTTTCAAGGGTCACCTCCTGGCTGCTAATCAACTCCTGCTCTGTTAGGAAGCAACTTCTAGCTCCAGACTAGCAAAGAGGTTTGGTGTCTGCCCAGCTTATGTTGCAGGGCAGTGTTGGGCAGCTCCACCACTGATCCAGGAAAGAGCAAACACCTGAAACTCATTAGCTGTAATTGCTGCCATCCCTGGTAGGCGCTGACCCACAGCAGGAGATCTGGCACAATCAGGTTCTGCAGAAATACAACCAGAGTTATGCAGGACAGGAAAGCAAGGTGTTCCCTCGCATCCAAGTGCTCTCTGCACATGCTGTTCCCCTCCAGTTATTCTATCTCTGCTAGTTTTCCCAGTGGTAACCACCACCCTCCCAAAGCCCAGGCCGTCCTGCTCACACTCCCCACTTGGATTTCTGCATCTCACAGCTGCTCGGAGACAAAAAAAAATAATAAAGCTTCTGGACATGGTGAGCAGCAGAGGTAAACGAAGAGCAGACATCTGCAAAGGAAAACCACACTGCAGCAGAGGAGAGTCAGCAAGTCCAAACATAGAACTTGGACCTGGAGCACTCAGCTCTATAGCTGCCAAGGAAAAAGCTCTGGGCAGTTTGTAGCACCCAGCCCCAGTGCTCAGCCCAGGAACCCTCACCTCCCTGCTCACTGCCACCACGTCATCGAGTGTGCACCATGAAAGACACAATGCACACATCCACTGCCTCATTTCTAAGCACAAACCCTTCCACACCACCATGCTAACTAGCAGATAGGGCAAACAACAGCTTCCCTGTCCCTGAGAGCATCACGTAACAACACACAGCAAAACCACACGCTGCCATAACATGGCACAGCAACGAGAAGGATGAGAAACAATTCTGCTGTAAATTTAACAGCCACAGCTATCGCAAACTGGGAACACTCAACAGCCCATCCTTAACCATGGCCACATTTGCCCTGTTTGCCCAGTGCTCACAGGATGTTGGACAGCAGTGCAGAAGTCACATCACACCTGGCACAGCGTTATCACCCCCAACCTTTGGTAAGGATGAAGAGCCAATGGACCCCAAAGCACAGCATGAAGCCAATGGGAATTAACAGCTGGCTGTTACGAGTACATAAGCAAGGAAAACTAAAGCCCACCCAACTAAAATGGGTTATTAAGTCTGACCTGACAGCGTGTGCTCCAGGTATCTCTGCAGGTGCAGCTCAGAACTCTTAAGGCTTATTTGGGTAATGATACTCAGCAAGACATTCGCAATGGCTTGAAATACTTCGATGAGGCTACACTTTTCCCCACTGCACTGCTAACACATGCAGATTTGTTTTCCTCTCTCTTCAGTAATCTGAACAAAGTCTCTTGGAAAGTTATCCAATGCCAGAATAAAAGTTGCATACATTGTAAATTCAGAATACTGAATTTGCTGATGCTTTGCCAGAACCTCATTCACACTCTCAGCCCCTTTAAAAGCATTTCAGGTCGGTGCACACAACTTATGGAGAGCAGCACTTCCAAGAGATGATGGTGAGCCCTGTGATGGGGATGCAGTCACAGCTCAGTCAGCAGATGGCCACACCATGAGGGGACATCAAGGGAGCAGGGAACTGCTTTGGCCATCATTCCCAGAGTGAGGCAGCACCAGATCTGTGGAATGAATCACTTCTGGTTGGACTGATCAGAAATGAATCGTTACCCAGCAGCAGCAGAGATGATTTCTCCAATTACTTAAAAGCAAAGTACTCACAAACAGAGCTGACCGAACACCAGGGGACGGAGGGAATACCAACCTTCCTCATGTCACCGTCTGACTGATGGCAGATACACCCCTTTACATGACCATGCCTGCCTTATGCAGGAGCTTCAAAGCACTTCTTCAACCTCAGCACTGCACATCAGCAAAAGGAAACCCAAGGAAAGCAGTTTTTAAGACACGGCTAACACCAGGAGTCCCTGTCTGGGAATAGAGCTCAGCATGAGCACAGATTGCTTCAGCAGCCAAGGAAATGGGTAACATTAACACCCATATCTGCATCCTTGATAGATAACAAGGAAATTCTTCTTGTGCTGCTTCTGCTGATGCATGAGCTGCAAGTGCTGCAGCAAAGCAGACGAGTTTCTCCAAGATTCCACCGTGCCCTTGCATTAACTAATGCATAATACCAACATTACTTAATGACATTACTGATCCATTTATTTGACAAATTAAGTTCAAACTTTTTTTTATTAAGCACATTCCACAGTACAAAGCTTTAGATCATGAACGATATCTGTACAATTTAACAGTTTCAATAAGCTGTTCATACACCAACTTTCCAAACAGGTAATTGGCAAACATAATTACAAGTTAGAATTAGACTATCCCAGTGCTTTGAAACATTAATATAGCAGTAATGTACAGTTGCTCAATTATGTTAGCAAATCAAAGTCCAGAGTGCAGCCAGGATCACTACCATGAATCCCAGGAGTCGAGTTCCTTGGGTGCCAATCACAAAAGTCCACTGCTATGTTACACAAAGCACAAAGAAGTTCGGACCGCATGTTCAAATACCATCATCTCCCCAGGAAAAAACAGGAATTTAAATCTTACACATGCATTTAAAAAAGGACTCCATTCTTCAGAAACAATTATGTTTGGTTTTGTTGTTTTCTTTTTTTTTTTTTTCAGGGCTGCAACAGATTTTAAACCATTTGATGTTAAAGCTATTAGATGAGAAGGGGAAGTAAGATGCCTTCACACAGTAATGCCACACCTCCCAACGAGGGATCTTTTGGACAATCAGGAGCACATTTTTCACCTTCTGTACTTCATCACGTTTGGTCATCTTGATGAAGTAAAGATGTTGCTGTAACACGGGAATGGGAGTTTAACACCGATCCCAACACCTCTCTCAGCGTGAAGAGGAGAAAACCTTAAGATGCACTGCTGGCCCATCTCAGCAATGTCTTGACGCATGCTTTCTCTGAACTCGTTTCTGAACACCTCCCTGCACTCAGCCCCTCAGCAACCTGACAGCCCTCAGCCTTCCTGATGGTACAAATCTCCAACCCAACAAAGCGCTGCCAGGGGACACAAACACGTGACATACATCAATCTGTGGTGATCCATCTCTGTGCCAGCACGTATCTTCCCCAGGAAAACAGGCGCGCTCCACGCTGACCGAAGCAGTGAAGAAAAGCCACCAGCAGGCACAGTCACACACGGCTAACGAAGGTACAATATTCAAGTTTGCATCTGTCCACAGCTTACTCCAACGTAAGAGAAATGCAGTAGCGTTTTGTGACCACATAAATTAGAGGGGAGACTATGACAACATAAAAAGAAACTACTGAGATTCCCAAATAAAAGCATGCTAACAAAGAGAAACCATGACCAGGACACTGCGTTATGGTTACAGCTGAGAGCTACAGGTAAGGAAACCTGCATGGTGATCAGAGCATTGACCTGAAGGGACCTCCACTCCACCATGAGGAAGGGTTACAAATCCAACATAAATAAATTTCACTTTGGCCCATGGCACTTCCTCCACTGAGCAGCCAAACTAATGCTAAAGGACGTCAGCAGGCAACTGTGACAACCTACTGGTGGTAAAAGAAAGACAACTGTAAATACTGCGGCACAAAATATAAGATACAGAACATAAATTAAACATTTTTTTTTTTTTTAATTTTTAAAAAGTTTAGAAATTACATTTTAAAATATGTAGTTCCCATTAAAAAAATCCTAATGAATACTGAAAACCTCCTTTTGCAGAGAAAATTTCTAGATAATTCATATTATCCCCTACAGTGCCAGTAGTTAGAACATCCTGCTGCCAAGTGCTACCACAGCTTGCGTTAGTGTGTAGTGTCAGGAAATCCTGACTCCTAGCACCTGGAGGTTACACTGTTATGTACATCATATCTACATGCTTATACAGTATTTGAAATGAGGCAAGCACACACGGAAAGGTTTTACTATACCAAACATTAGGAAGCGCAGGACGGCTGTCGTACAGAGCACAGTTAAAAGGAAAAGACAGTGCTATACAACTAGTTTAGATAACCTAGCCTGAATTACAGGTAATCTTTAATTTAAAAGAAATTATTGGTGCAGAAACAAGTAAACTGTAATCCAAAAAATATTACTGAGCAATTCAGAAATATTTCTAAGAGTCCAACGTACACTCCTATTAAACAAAACAGGCTCTGAATCTGTCATAAGAGCAAAGTCTAAAGGACAATGATGACTTTGAAAGCAAAGCTCTGTACATTCTGGGTATGTGTTTGGCACCCAAATTTCGTTGGAGAATGTTTTTTCTTTAAAGTCAGACAAAAGTGCAAAGCAATATAAATTAGGCCAAGTCCTTTCTTGACGTCTGATTTATTTCTGAAAAACAAGCCATCTGAGTTCAGGTTCTACGGACAATATACATGTGAAGCTTTGGATTTCTCACTGCAGGGGAGGGTAGGCTTCTGAAATTCATCTACTCGAAGTCAGTGAATTTGTAGTAAATTCAAAGACGACCACTGAGAGCAGGAAAGATTAAGAAATTTAGATATAGAATTGTGCTGCTTTGCATCTACACAGCATCTAGAACCAATTCTGACTTTAGCTGTCGATCAACATCTTCAGGCATGTAGGAGCCAAAATCCAGTAGTTCAAGACTGTGAAACCCTGAAAGAGACAAAAGACAAACTGAACTCACAGAACACACAGGTCAAAAAGCACCTTTTGGAAACGTAGGAGAAGGTTAAGCACACACCATCTTTGGCACTCCAGGCTGAAACTACAAGAGCAAAACACCTGTGAGGAGTACAGTGCTTACTGTGTTAAGGAGGTACTTAGCTTTAAATAATTCTGTGTTAGAAGTCCTTCCTCCAAGGATGGATGCACTTCCATGGGAAAGTGCCTTTGTTGCACAATATGCTCTGAACATACGAGCATTTTTCTTACATACCTTTGGGGGAACTAAAAGGTGAACCATCTGCTCATCTTGCTAAATGCTGAGCACTTTACTGAAAGAGTGACAAATGAACTTTCCTCTCCACCAATGCTGCAGAGGAACAAGCTTTGCTCAAAACACAAACTTGGCTTCTAGTACATAGGATTTTAAGAAAACAGACAAGACACCAAAATTAGTTTTAGACTTTGTTTCCCAAATGTGGTTACATGACCAGTAAATACTTGGCATAATTAAATCCAAATTTCAGTTTTACTCACCACTTTCCAAAATCACTTTTGTGGACTATGGTGAACTACCCTGTTCTGATATGAAATTCCCACGAAAGGTTAAAACATCTTTAGATGTTAACCAGTGGCATCCCTTCCCCCTAGCACAAGACCTAGTGCTTAATATAAGAATATCAGAGTATCATATGGTAACAATTTTTATCATGTTACAATAAACAACAGGAATTCAACAGAAAGCAATAAAACTCTCACAGCCAACTGCCAGGACTGTCAGAAATGATCCACTTTGAAGAGGCATAACATTGCAAGCCTTGTAAAAAACCAAGGGCGTGGGGCTGTTTCAAAATACAGAAAACTATAATGTTTGAAAGCATATAAAACTGTTTCATTAAATGTCATAATGAAATATTAGCTGTTTGACCATAATTGTATGTAGATTTATGTCTTGTGAATTCTGATTTCAGAAAAACCCTTCAGAAAATGACATCACGGCATCTCTCCTGTATAGGAAACATCATTAAGGAACAGTCATTTATCAACACTAGCAATTCCTGGGATCATATCCCTGCGTGTTTTTAGTTCTGCATCACAAGACAAGTCAGACATAAGCTGCTCAAAATCGTCAAGTGTGCAGAATTTCAAAGGAAGAACACACTGCCAAAGGCTCTTCATATTTCATCAACAAATCTCCATGACAGTGGATCTTGCGGGTCACATGTGGCAGGAAAGAAAATAAGACACCAATACATTCCTCTTGTGCTTAAGACAAACTATGTATAGCTTTTCCATGAATCAAAACTAGTAACCATTCAACTTCAACAAGCCTTGGAGTCTCCACAGCAGAAGTTCACCTAGGTATTGCCCCATGTGGCACAGCAGCCAAACAGAGCATCTCTGTCTATGGAGTAAGACAGAGTTCCTAGGGACACAACTATCAGTGATGGCACCAAGCTTTCCACAACAAGAACACAACCATGCACACAGTTTTGAAGTGGAAGTGATAGGGAAGCAGTGTGAAAGGACCTCGCTGTTTTGAACAGCTTCATGATCTATCTCCCAGGAAAACGTCATATTTAACTACCTCTCCACCCAACAAAAACGTTACATTATCACACTTGCTTTCAAATTTTTGTTGGCCTTCCACCACACAAAGAATAAAGAAGCCAGTGAGTTTTACTAAGTTACCCTTGCAGCAACGTTCTTAACATCACAATTTCTTAAATGAGCTGCTCAATGTTTATTCAATACTGCAATATCTCTTTTGACACTAAGAAATATGGCCAGATTTTGGGTTTTAATTTAGACAGGGAGGATAAGGACATACGCATGAAATACTGCAGGGAATACTGGTGATTCCCTAACATACTAGCAGGGCAGAACTGAAGTTCACATGAGCAATGAGTTGATTTAAATGTACCTTACACACAAGTTCTAGTGGAGCTGGATGTAAATATATTTCCTTTGATTTTGAAGAAAATAAGCAAGCTCCATTCACTGCTGATTCTATGTGTTAACACTGCATTACAGCATGAGACTTCTTCCTCAGTCATGGGCCTGATTATATTAAATAATTACTGGTTCTGAAACTCAGTCTAGCTATGCCCAGCTTTTGGCCTTGATTCTCTGTCAAACCTAACAAGCCACTGGATCTGATGTCTACCCAGAGAGGACATCATGGCGGCGTTCCTCAAAAGAAGTAGGAATTCACTCAGCAGGAACAGTAGCCAACACTTTCCTGAGGGATGCATACAGGTCAGAGGACAGTGACTTTTAAGAAACTATCTCAATGAAACCAAGTGTTTCTTCACATGGAAAGATGTTTCCTAGCCAGAGAGATCTTACAAAAGGAATGGAAAAAAGTCTGAGGAGATCATTACTATAGCAGGAATAAACACATACAGATAGACAACGGAAATCCAGGCTTACACGAAGAGCCACAGTGTTTAAGCCAACTACTAATTATCTACTTCAAATAAATCCTTCCAGCTGAGGCAGTAGTAGTCCTAATTCCTCTTGTTGTGGAGCTCCCACTTCCTTGAAAGCACCCAGTATCAGCATGGGCAAACTGGAGAAAGGGGCACTGCTCTTTACTAAGGCAATTTCTACATTTCCAAGCCCCAGCATTCACAGCTATTTATAGTGTGAAGTGAAATTGCTGGCAGCAATGTAGATGACATGAGGAAAAGAAACCACTCTTCTAACAAACAGATCTACAGCAGAGCTTTTACCCACTGTGCCTGAAGAACAAAAGGAAGCTGACTAGCAGAAAAACTAAAACAAAATAGGCTAAGTCCACGTGCTCTGTTTTTGACAGCTTTGTCACACTGCCTAACACAACATTATTTTTAGTTCTGAAAGTCCTCCCACATACTTATGGTCATCACAGAATTGCTCATTTATGAGAACTTGTCCAAAGATCATATGTATTTTCAGTTTATTAGGAGCACATTAAGATGCTCGTTACAAAGATTTCATCCTGAGATGCCTCAAAAGCTCCAGAAGATTCTGATGTCACAGGATATTTGCAATACCTGTGCCAATGCACCAAAATCTCCAAGAACACTGCAAACACCCAATAACTTTCCATGCTATATCTTAAGTATCCAATTACAAACAGGAGTTTATAGGGGACATGGGGAAGAGATAGCACGACGTGGCAAGTTTTGAAAGCTGAAGCATGACCATGCAGTCTAAGTAATGCAAGAAGTGGCATAAGAAAATTCTACTTAAGGAAAACAACAGTTTATTGTATAGAGCAATACAACCTGCAGGTGAAGTGATAGATTTATAAACATGTTCTATGTGAAGAGACAAAGACTTACCTTCTGAGGGTAGTAAAGTGCAGACTGTTATCTGGAGATGTAAGTGTATGTTCTAGATGGAGAGCGAGTCTCGTTTGGGGCACTGGGTGGCACATTTAAGAAATCCCAAATCAGAATTGTATCATCATGGGAACTACTAATGATCTGAAATTCATCAAACTGGAGCCTAAAGACACGTCCTGAATGTTCCTGTGAGTAATGAACAACAGTTAGCAGGTGAAGAAGAGAATAACATTTCATTACATTTGTGCTCACACAGATCTGGATGCAGAGTGGTGTCTTAAAATTTTGGTGCACTAAGAAGCCCTTAGTTATAATCACACTTGAGTTTAAAGAAAAGCAGTTTTCATACATAAACTTTGTCCAGCATAACACACAGCTTTCAAATAAAATACTCTCCCTGCAGGGGCCCACTGCACATGTTGAGGCTGACATAATTAAAGACTAAGGCAGTCTATCAATTAGGAAGCATCAATCTAGAAGACTGGCTGGCACTAACAGTCTACACCAGGGGTTCGTTTTCTTACATAAGATTTTGCATTCAACACTGCTGCTAACCCAGTTTTTGTATAGCACTAACACACCACATCATGGCTTCATCCAGGACACACTGCTGCAAGAATCAGTATGGCTTGCTCATGGAGCATGTCCAAATGCTGCCAATAAGGAAAGGAGGTGGAGGAGCTCCATCAGCTCTTTGAAGAAACCTCAGAAAGGAGGTCCAGAAAAGGTTTTCCTCTTTCTTTTGCTTACCCAATTTGTTAATAAATTTAAGAGAAGTATGGGACCTTTAGTAGAGAACTAACTAAAGCTGTCAGACTGATCTTCAAACTATAAGCTGAGCTACAGTGTACCCACAGAAGGGAAAGAAGCAACTTTTTCCAGTAAAACTAAATACACATACAGATTACAAGAATAGTTAAATCTCATCTTCACAGAAAGATTATTCAAAAGAAGAAAATATATAAATACTTTTAGGAACATAAGGACTTCTATAGTGTTGGAATAAGTCAGTTACCATCATAGGCAGACAGTAACTTTGGGTTGTTACTGGATTGGAGAAATGTCTGACTGATTCCTGAAGTAAATTTAAACAAAGTGCATAAAATTTCAGTTTACTGTCAGAAACCAAAACCCTCAATGCAAGGAAAAACACAGCTTAACCAACAGCCTCAACTCTGATAGTCTTTTGAGGCAACGAGAGTAATTCTTTCCACTTATCCTCCCTTCTCTTTGCATACCTCTTTCTTTCAAACTGAAAGGTTAGGAAAAAGGTTAAGGTTAGGAAAAAGGTTGAGGAAAGACTCACAGAATTTCAGCCCCTTTAACAGGAGGAAATTCAAAGCCAGCATGATAGTGCTATTAGGGAACCACACCAGTAGCTAAAATGATTTAACAATGTCATGATTTATTTTTTAGAGTCTCTGAGAATGTCTTAATTTTTCATTTAAACTTAATTTCAAGTCATTGATGATATGTACATTTTACTTCATTTTTAGCATAAGAAATAGCCTAGGTTTTACAGAGAACCCCCTGAATTTCTCAGCTCTCCTAAGGTAAGGGAATAAAATGCCCCATGCTTTCATGAGTACATTTCAAATAGAAAATTTGAAACCTCAAATGAATAAATTAATTATACATACCACTAACGTACGCAAGCATAATGTACTTGCTGGGGCACGAGGGTCAAGAGCAGCTTGCAAGTCCCAAACTTTAATTTTGCTATGAAGTAAGATAAGAAGGTTATAAGCATTGTTTCAAGCGTAAGCACAGAAACATCTAAAAGCAACAGACAGAATTCCAGATCTTTCCTTCAGCTGATTTATCAGAATCAAGCAAAACGTTATAATTTATCTTCACTAAACTACTAAAGCTGAATCTCGTAAAATACAGACAGTTTTGTATTTCTTTTTAGAAGCAAATACAGTGATGTCTTTGTGATGGCCCAAGTGGGCTGTTTATACTCGAGACAAACTAACTACATTTGTATACACAAGCCAGTTTGGAACTGCAGAGGAACTCAAAAGCCCACAACACTACTGATGAAGTGCGAAGATCCAACAGGAATTAAGCAGGGACTGCCAACCCCAGTGAGACGATAAGCCCTAATAAAAGGCTGGAGACTAACACAGTTCAAGAATTGTTTTCAATAGCTCTACTGTTCACTAGGAGTACAGTTCATACAGAAAAAGAACCAGAGAATTTGGACGTGAATGTACATTGTCCTGAATCTACTGCACAGCAAAAATACCACTTGCAAGGCAGAGCAAATCAAAGTGCTCACAGTGGGGCTCCTGCCTTTAACCTAAGAGATATAGCAACTGAACAGTTCTGAGAGCCCTACGTGATATATCTGCCCTCACAAATATCTCCAGAGTTGCTGTCTTGAAACAAACAAAAATTGAAAAGAAAGCATCAACTACTCTGAGTACATGGACCTGGAAAGGAGCAATTCCTAACGAAAGAAACAAAAGAATGCACTACAATGCACCAAAAAAGCAGTTTTAAGTAGACAAGAAACTGCAGCCTGATATGCTGAAGTAGAAGCCACTTCAATAATAATCCATCTGTCATATCAGAAGAGACCCTTTGTACTGCAAACAAGGCCCAAAGGCTTTCAGAATGCTTTGTTAAGGAAGGCAGAACGTTTAGAAATTGCTCTCAGAAACATACCCATCATAGGCTCCACTAACAATCCTCTTGTTGTCGAACCTGATGCATCGGACCAGTTCTTCATGGCCTTCTAATACTCTTAAACAGGCACCACATTCAATGTCCCATAGCCTTAAGAGAGCAGAAGAAAGTCTGAGCACTTCAGGTTCAGTGCTACCCCTTCACCTTACACACAGTGATTGAAGCATGCTACTGAAGGGGTTTCTGCAGAAAATACCATAATTTGCTACAAAGAGCAGCTGGTAGAACTAGGAGATGTTCCCTGTATGCAATTCAGATATAACTATGTTGCAGCTGCAGTACATAAAAACTTATCTAGACATTCAAAATCACATGTAAGTAAAGGTTGTATATTTGCTAGATTATTTTAAGAAACCTCAACATACTTTTCCATTCTGCATAAATCAGTGATTACTAGAGGTTCAGAAAGCATGATAACCAGTGACCAACGTCACCATCTCTCAAGCAGAAAACAATTTACTAGGTCATAAACTACAGGAACAGACAGTTTTGTTTCCCTTTGTCTGAACCTCAGTCTCACTTTTTCACATGCATGTGATACATTAACTCTCACACTGAATAAAATTCCAGTCGTACAGCATCTGCTTCAATGGCAAGACATATTGAAGATGGTTTGCAGCAAAGATCAGGGGAAATCCTGTTATCATGTGTAAATGCACACAGGTACATACTGACAGCCTGCTGGCACCCACCTAATGGTGTTGTCAGAAGATCCACTGACAACTAGTCGATCCCTGTACTGCAGGCATGCAATGCCACGCTTGTGCCCATTGAGAGTACGAACAAACTCGCACGTACTTGTACTCCAGACCTATGAAACATGAGAAGAATGTTTCTCTGAGAATTATGCTCAATAAAGGCTTTTGACTTCCAACAGAAGCTGTTACAAACTCATAAGCAGAAGTCTGAGGCTGACTTTTGCTGGACAGCAGAATGAAAACTTCCATAGTGTTTTTACAGGCAAAGAGGAGGCACGTGGTGTTGGTGGAAGATGGCATTATGGAGCCTAGCAATGACAAGAGCCATTGGCTCTGCAATTGTCCATCATGTCAGTGAGAAAGACGGTATTTGCAAGTAGTAGATACTGGTCCAAACAACCTTGAAGGGCTGATGGCACTTGAATCTTGGTAAGTAAGTAATCCATTAAAAAAGAGGATGTTACCTCATATACAAAAATAAGCTGTATTTTTTTACCAAATAAATTGCTAGCAATCTGCTTCTAAGAGAAGATCAAAACCACAGCCTATTAAGGCTTGGTGGCTGTTTCTTCTTTAACATTAAAGTATTTTGATCAAATTTGTCCATTTTTAATGAACTGCTATTGAAGTTGTAATGTAAAGGATTCATGTAAAGTAGATCATTTCCAAAACAGTGCAGCGGGTTTCTTGGCAGATATTCGGACATGGAACTTCCAAGTGCTTTTTGGCACAGTCTAGAGTAGCTCTGGTTCTAGAGAAGGAAGGGTGGAAACGCTTTTGTTATATTAATACACTCTGGATAAGTCAAATTTTCTGGTATGTAGTAGTTTTCAAGTACAGCATTTTAATTCTTTAAACACAGCAGAGTCTGGTTTAACTGGGAAGGTGTGGTATGGAAAGGCAACTGCTGATAAATTTCATGTCTGGAACAGGACTGCCAATTGAAATTTAAAAAAGCATTTGGAAAAAGGCACAAAATGTGCCACATTTAACAAACAAACCCGTCTTGAGATTAGAGTTCAAACAATGAGTAGGCTTTACTTTTTTGGAGCTGCACAACAGTAACCACAAAAATGTTACAAGACTCGTTATACGCATGAAGACATTAACAACTAGTCAGAGGAAGCAGCTAGCTGAATGGTAAGGAGAAAAGCATAGAACTGTTTACAAAAGCTTTGGCTACTCGATTTGAATTGTAACTTCCAGAAGGTTTTCTGGCTTGGTAGGCATTCAGACCCACAGGAAAGTTCTGCCAACTTACTTTAATGGTCCTGTCACCTGATGCTGACACAATATACTTGTCATCGAAGTCTACCACATTAACAGCAGCACGATGGCCAACCAAGACACGGCGCAGGGTGATGTCAGTAGGTGATGCCATATCCCAGACAGCAATAGATCTGTCTTTTGAGCATGTCACCATTAATCCGTTACTGAACCTCAAATGAAGCACTGCTTCATTGTGATGAATCAACGTGTTCAGAACTTCACCTGTATTTACATCCCAAACTCTGCAAAAGAAAAGAATTTTATCCCAGATGAAGGAACTATGTGCATTATACAATGCAAACACATACAGCTCTGCTACCATCTTCAAGAGAGCTCTCTGGTTTCATTTGCAAACCCTCTGTAGGCTATGGAAGGGCAGAAAGGAACTGGGGAAGTATCTTGGTTCACTTCTCAGTCACAAGCAATAATTAGCAGCAGTGTGCAGTTAGGTCAGGAAAAGAGGAAAAGCCAAAGCTGGGACCACTGCTAAAAGACAGGGTTGCACAGTAATGAAGCATGACTCTAGAACTCTTCTTTCTAGGTGGATTAGAACCTCTGTACAAATTGATGAAGCAAATCAAAAATAAAGACCATATACTTTTTATTTTTTAAGAGTTTTATATCACTGAGAATTAGTACAAATTTTACCATTTGGAAAGAAGTAGCCTTGTGGACTTGCATCAAGTGAATAGCACTACTGATTTTATAGTAACTGACAGTAACTGCTATGATCAGTTCTTAATTTCAATAGATCAATATTGATATACCAATGCAAGCCACCAAGACTCAAGGCCCTTCCACTGAACTGTACCTCAACATCTGTATATTTGAAGTCTTGTGTTCATTTTCAAGTGCTCCACATATAAAGTCTCCTTTCATTATAGGTCATAATGAAAGTATGTCAGAAGGTGACATAAGAAACCTAAATGAGGTAATCACCACGTAACCAGTGCATCAGCCATTCTAATTCACGTTGTGCTTTGAATGACACAGGTCACATCTCTTCACAATGCTTAACACTACAAAGCATGAAACAGGCTTGGGAAAAAAAATGACTGAATATGATGCTTTGCCAAGTGCAAATACCTTATTTTTGGAATAAAATGGTATCACACTCACATGAGGGATGTTTTCTGACATTTGGAGATTATTACAAATATTCCCAACCCTGATATTCACTTTTTTTAAAAACTTTTTTTTCCCAAGAAAATTAACACTCACCTCACTGTAGAATCTGAAGATCCAGTTACAATAACCCTTTCATCATATTGCAGACAAAGAACTGAGCCAGTATGTCCTGTTAATACTTTCAAACATTCCAAGCTTGTTTTGTCCCAAATCTGTCAAAAAATAAAAACTATAAATGGCTTGCCAAGACCAAGCAGATAGGTTCAAAAAACTTGAACACTGCTTCTACTGAGAAGAAAGGAAGAAATCTGGACACAGCAGCAAGAACCCTTGGCTAGGCTGCATGTCCAGACAGCGACCTCGTCCTCCCTTCTAAGTTGCTGAGCCTCCTTGATGCAAGCTTTTGGCATTACAGTGAAACAACCAAGGATCACAAAATGACAAAAGCCTGTTTTACAAAAAGAAATGTCATGGCACTCAGGGACAGCTTCCATGAAAGCCAACCATTTGGAATGACAAAAAGACACAGCTGGCAATAAGTACTACACAGTCATCTTTCATGCAGGCAACTCTGATTTCACTAGCATTTCTTTGTAGCAAGTGGTATTGATTGCCTGTCTGCTAAGTTTCTAGAGTAAAACACAGGTGAAGACTTTACAGGATTACAGAAGGCATGCATTCCTCACAAACCCTGAAGAGAGAAGCACTGCTGGAAAAAGAGACAAGAGAACACATCAAGGAAACAAACAGCTCCCCCTTCAAGACAGAACTACCATTCACACACAGAGAAAAGACCATCAAAGAGTTTACCTTAATGGAGTTATCTCGTAGGCCACTGATTATCTTTTCATCATCATACTGTAAACAGTAGACACCTTTGCTATTTTCAGAACGGCACTGAATCCGTTGCAAATTATGTCTCCCACATCGCCAGTTAGATTCTATTGTCTAACAAGAAGTGAAACAAGGAGAGTTAGGCTGCATGCTCCAGCGTGATTACTCCAAGAGGCCCAGCAAATCTTTCTCACTGTTTTCAAGTTCATCCTTAAGATTTAAATGCAAAATTTATATCCGTATCTCTCCCAACCACCCATAAAAATATTTAAAACACCATGAATTTAGACCTTCATATTTTGTCATGACAAAAGCAGTATTCAGTGCTGAAAATCATACTCAAGCAGCCTTCATGAGAACATTCAGAGGAACCATCAGAAAGATGCATTTCAGTTTCCCCTTATAAGTATGCAGTCATCTGATAGCAGCAGCAAAGAACTTGTATGGTTTGTGCTCAGCATCACTGAGTAACCAACATACAGATCCCTGCACCTTCCTGCCCCTGCCCAGCCATTTCCCACAATAGCTGTCATGCAACCAAAGGATTCTGAGATACAGAAATTTCTGCTAAGCACCTTAAAGCATAAAAAAAAACCCCAAAACCTCAGCAAGGAATATAAAATTTAAACAATCTGAAGAACAGCTAAAACTTACTTTTTTTTCCTCCCCCTCCTTTCAGGTAACAGACATGACACCTTAAAAGGAGGTAAACTATTTCATGGCAGAACAAGAATTAACTCCATCTTGTCATCAGCTTTCCTGTTTGTGAAAAGACCAACGTTGGCTTCAAACACACATGAGATATGGGATTATGGTCAGAAGGTCTGCACACGGTGCTGGGACAACACTTTCAGTACCCTGGAGGCTGGAATGCTTTTCATTTTCCAGCACAGGCACCAGAACAACCCATGTATTTGACTGCTTCCCTGATGCTCTCCACAGTGCTGCATGGAATCCCAGGGTGCAGCTGATCAACTCTCAGTTAGTTTGGAAAAAATATTTACAATCAAATCCTAATTCTAACGCAGTATCAGGCACTTCTGCAGTTCCATGCAGTTCTTCCTCTCCTCTCCAAGATCAGAAAACAACTAAAATGATAATTAAAGACAAAAGTACAGTGCAACTATGACCTCTCAATTCCAGGAAAATATTCCTATTTTAGCAGAAAACAGTTCATCACTTGGTTTTCCGTGCACTTGCTCCTTCAGTTGTCTCCCATTACGCAACTTGGAGAGAATTATCCACAATTATAATACAAACCTGATGTACCACAGGAATTTGTCTAAATGAGAAGTACTAAAGGAAGCTCCTGGAAAAGCATGCTGACAAGTTATTCATCCCTCTCATTCTCTTCCAATCTGTTGGGGAAGCTAATGAAATTAAGATAGCAAGTCATCTGCCAGTTCACGATCAGCTTTTCTGGCCAGCTAGCCTGCTGCTGATCATCAGACTAAACCAGGCTCAGGCTGTTCAGACCTGCCATTGGCTCCACTTGGGCTCCTGCTCTGAAGGCAGCAGACTGCTCATTTTGCTATTCCTCAGCATGAGATGGACGTGTCAGGAAGGAAGGGCTCTCAAGCCTCAACTGAAGATTTGTCACCTGTGCTTGGAAGGCAGAACTGCAACTTGTTAATTCCTTCACTGTTAGAGCTCATAGACTAGCCTTGGAAACAGCAGAGAATTTAAGACACTAATAGCACAAACAATTATAGCTAGAGATCTGAAGGCAAGATATTTAAAAATGCAGTAACACTGAACACACAGGAGATAAAGTATCTCAGATTCAAGCGATCCAATTTAAATAGCTTCAGAAACCATGTATGTTCAGACATTCAGTTCTAAGAAGTCACCTAAGGGAGAATTTCCCTAAAGGAACGTTCTTGGAAAGGTCAGAAATGAGCAGTTTTATGCACCACGTGCTGGATTACTCAGACCTCCAGGCACTACAACACCATTTGAACACCTCCACGCCTCAGGTTCCTGTGGCAGCTACAGAATACATTAAGAACACCACCAATCAGTTGTCTGTAGCTTTCTAATCAGAGCAGCAGTTGGTAGGAGTATGCTGACCAAACATTTTGGGACTAGCATTGGTTTAACTCTTAGCAGCTCACTGTAGGAAGCGACATAATAAGCCTACCACAAGAAAACGCTGGCGTCAGATAAAAGAAACTAAGGTATTATTTACATCTGCATGAAGGCACCATAAAGCAGCAAGTCACATGCAGGTGCACATTTTAATTTGGCGTGTAGATATCATTTCATTTGTAGGTTATATAGTGTGGCTACTGTGGGAAAATACTTCATGTTTTTCGAGAACTTGTAAAATCCCCTTACACTGCGTAAATTTCAGTGTGCTGGGAAAGTAGCCACAATACACAGAGAATATACAGCAGCATTTAAATTAGCAACAGAGTGAAAACAGATGTGTACGTATAGAGAAATAACATTATTTTAGATGACTAAATACAGCTGAGTGGGTGGGCAACCTGGAGGACCCTCTGAAAAGGAACATGTTTAATACAATACTGGCAACCACATAAAAGCTTCTGCTAGAGGAGATTTCTGGTCGTTACCGAATGGTGCAGTTAATAGGTTTTCAGCTGCAGTCCTTCCAGGAGATATCTCAACACACTACGTACACAGCCAGTAGGTGTGTGTGTGCATATGAGCAGAGAGGAAGAAACTGCTCTGTTTTATAGACTGTTATAAGCATCATGGGGTCAACGCTGAGAGACTCCATTTATTTGCATGCTTACAGCAACAAACCTAACAGCAATTGATGCAGCACTCTACTGCATTTTCTGTAGCAAGTCTCCAAGGTAACAGCCCCTAAACATGGGTTTCACAGCTAAGAGCAAGCGGTGCAGAGCTCTGTCTCCTTGGCTCACAGGCACAGCAGACAGTTTCACACACTTCACTAATGCTCACTTACGGCGATAGCAGCAAGTATGCTACACAACCAACAAAATCTGGACACAAGGGATAAGGAACAAATGTGAAGATAAAACATCTGCCCTGTGGAGAGCCATTTAGCAGCTGAGGAACTGCAGAACTGGACAGAAAAAGGCACTTAGAGAAAATCTCCCAGAGAAGCCCACGATACAGAGGAATAGTCAAGTCTTAAACACAACAAGGTAAGTTCACTGGTACAAGGACAGTAAAAAAGATGTTCCAACTGCTAGTCCAGATGGATTACATATGCTATACTTCAGATGTTAAGGATAATCTATTAAGAGCAGGGTTTTTTTTTGCCATGTTTGATGATGTACCCTGTGTTCAGTTCCTTGGCTAAAAACAGGATTTTCATCCTTCTGAATATTACTGCAAAGCAGGTTTATCTTTACCCCCAAAACCAAGGAGACTGTTCTCTGAAAAAACACAATTCTCAGAACAAAAACAGCAGGAAAAGGAACCACAAATAGGGATTCTCCCGAGGCACTGGGCATTTACAGCAAGAGCAGCTGAAGCCCCAAACTCCTATTCTTCACACGTTTAGAGTTGATCTTGTGTCATCAGGGTGAAGAGGGCCAAGTATCTCATTCCTTATGAAGTTAAAAGGTTTGATAAGCAAAGATGGAATGACAGAGTTCCATTTCTGAGGAACTTCCTCTTCAGACTCTCTAGGAAATTAAAAAAAGCACAAAACCTCTTAACAAGGATGCTGATCCCAAAGATCCCCGATGGGAGTCCCAACTTTATTGATGGGTTTCTACTCTGCTGTTAGCCAGCAAAAGTTGAGCAGCTTCTGTAGTGTCTGTAAGAATCTTATGAGAAAAGGCTGCGTGATGCATACTGCCCAGGAGGCTTAAACTGCTCCTCAAGAGCAACCTGCAGAGTGCTGGCTGTCCTGTCCTTACTGCAGCAGTGCTAAGCACAGCATTTCAGGCATCACAGGGCTGACTGCCACACAGCATTGCATGACAAAGCTTCCCATTGTAGGCTTTGCAACTGGGAACTGAAATAAACAGTGATGTGGTAATTAAATGCAAGCAAGTAACCCTAAGTAAAGGCAGGCCTGTGTATTTACCTGAATACCCAAGTGAGAATAAAACCCACCTCCATGAAGAATCACAGAAGCAAGACTAACAAACAGAGAAACGGGGATTGATTATAATCCCATTAACATATATAAAATATACCACACATCAATAGTTTAAGTTCAGGGCACATGTCTGTAAAATAAAAAGAAAGGTGCACTTCCACATTAAAAAAAAAAAAAAGGAAGAACATTTGGTAACTGGATTTCTGATCTGACTTGTAAGAACATTGCACATTGAGGCTATGTTGTTACCTTGTGAAGAGCACTGAAATTAAAGCAAAGCCAAAGAGCTAGAAGTGTACTACTGAGCCACCCCAAGTCCAAATAGCGCATGGGCTTTCATATCAGTTTGGGCTAAAGTATCACTTTTAGTCTGAACTCCAAGACCAGAAGAAAAGCCATAAATGGTGGAGTCCAAAAATATAAACAACTCTACAGAAAAAGGAATGGGAAGCTTTTCCTAGCAAGTATCACAATTTAATCATATGGGTTTTTTGGGACAGAAATTAAGACCTAAAAATTACATTCCTGTCATTTACAGCTGTTCAGATAAGATCCAAACCTGAGCAATGTAAGTTGATGAAGTGTCGTCTTTCTGCATGCAACCAACCTGATACGTATGAAGTTGCTCAATGGCCCATCAAGTAAAACTATCCTCCAATTCTCACTGCAGCCTTGCAGAACCCTTTGTAAAGCCACAGAAAGAACAAATCAGATGTTGAACGAGATAGATATGGACAATGGAATAGGCTCATTTGTCACAGAGGAAGAGAAGACGACTTGCAGAAACTGTACTAAAGGCCAGCAATACAAAAGGGAAACCCTAGGAAAAAAGCTAACTGCATAATAAAGATTATTTTATAAAGCATAAAGATAGATGTTCTCTCAGAGTAGCAAAGTGACGTTACACATCAGGGACACCTTAGGCAAGAAAAGAAAAAAAAGGGGGGGGGAGACAAACAGAAGTTTTAGACCTAAAGAACAGTAATTTAGTACTAGGATTCCTACTGCCCAGGATGGTGGATGGCTCTTGCTGGTTTTCTCTATGATGTTCCCCTCATCTACAGTGTCCAACAATGCACAGCACACCTCAGAGACATAGTGAAGTGCCAAGCTTTCAGGTTACAAATGCAATGTCAAAATATACTGAGACTTTAAATGGACTCCTGCTATTGAAGTGAGAGGAAAGTAACACTGCAACTGTACAAGAAATCCATCTCTTCCAGACCTGGAAAGGAAGTCTTAAAAATGTGAGCTACATCACTGGAAGCAGAGAACTCCTCCAAAGTACTCTGATGACACACAGCTGCTGTATACACTCCTGACAAAGTGCAATGCTGATGAAAAACTAAATTGTTGCATCTTTTAGTTCCCATTCGAAACAACAACCTGACATACAGTGCCATAAAAATACAGTTCTATTTAAACAGGTACTTATCAGCCCCTACCAGAGCATGAGGGCATTTGAAATGCTCAAACAGGAACATGAAATCCCTCCTTCAAACCTTCTGAAGAAAACAGCAGCCTTGGCTGCCCATTTGTGGAAAGCAGGAGTGGTGTATGCAAAGGGAATGAAAAAAAGCCCAGCCAAGGATCCTCCCCGTGACACGGGGACCCGAAACCAGTTTTCTGCCCCTCTCAGTTCCAAGAGTCAAGGCCTGTGCCATTTGGTCTCCTCCTCCTCAGTTTGTGGGCCAGTTTCACATTAAGATGTGCCTTTCAAGTGGCTCAAGTCTGAAAACGTAAAACAAAAATCACATTTTAATTCTAATCTGAATTAGGTGGACCTAAATTTCCATGGAACCATGATGAGAACTTGTCATGTTCTCGAAATAAGGGGAACATTTATGAAACAGTCTTCTCAACTCATCACATGAATACTTGTGCTAGATCTGCAGGGAAAACCAAATAGTTGGCTGGGCTTCACAAATAATATGGAAAAAATCCAGGGACTCGGGGTTCTGCAATCAGCAGTATTAAGCTTCCCATCTTGGCACGCCGCCCATTAACACGACCCACTCCAAACAGCTGACCATCACACAGCACTTCAGGACTGCACCCAGTCACAGGATGCCTTGCAGCAAAAGAATTCTGTAAACAAGTCTCACAAACCCAGGTTCCGTTTTCTAAGATATGCCCCCTAAAAGAAAAAGTCCTACAGAAGCTTGGCAATCCAACGTGGGACTTGGAGACATTTAGCATTGCTGGACCACCTCTTGTGAAATGAAACCTTATTAAATATTTGGCTTCACAGTGGAGGGAGAGACCTCTTTCCAAGAATTTGGTTTCAGATCTCTAAATGTCCTCTTATTTTCAAATCCAGTGATTTCAGAAGTGACATTATGTTCCTAAAATGTGTTTGGCACAAAACAAACAAACACTGCCACTAATAAACCTTCAGAGAGGCAAGGAAGTCTCATCTGCCGAATCACAGCCTGTCCTAACCTTGTAGTTAATGACATTTTGTGGTTGCGTGGACTTTTGACCTAAAATGCAAATAGAGACTGAGGGAAATCATGCACATTTGCTACTTATCATTCCTCAGTTTTCCTTTCAATCATTAATTCAAGCTTCAGATTACTTTTCAAATCTGTCAGTCAATCAGAAGAATAGAGGACATGGCTTTTAGAGCTCATCTCCACCCACAGAGTCAGTTCAGCACCAGCTCCTGCAAACTGGTCCTTCCTCACACCAGGAACAGCATAGCCAAGCTTCATCTTCATTCTCCACAGGTAAAATACTGGCTGGTTAGATTTTCTGTGTCATCAAATAGCTTCTACTGTATTAAGAATAAAGAAACAGAGTCCCTCAAATGCAAAATAATAGAGATACTAAGATAATCACATTGCAGTGCTAATACAGCAGCCTTAGTAGGAGGATGAAGGGAGTGTCTGCATCTTTGGTTCATCATGAGCTGCCGAAGCTCTGACAGAAAATGAAGATCTTATTAAAGGCCCAGACAAATATTTAAAGAAAAAACATTTTGATATTCAGAGATAGAAAACTCTTCAACACTGCTAAAATGAAGGTCTTATTTAAGAGATTCTGCATATTGCTTTGAGAAGTGAAGAAATGGGAAAAGTATGAAAGTAAGGGAAAGTATAACTCAAGGCGTAAAAAAACAAACAAAGGCAAAATCAAAACCAAGCAGAAGAGAGTTAGGAAGTGTTCCAACCCTTACAGTTAAGTCTTGTTGCCATTGTTACCCACCACCTACATTTTTAAACAAAGTTAAAAGCTTCCTTTGACAGTTCTTTAGGGAAGCAATTTGTGAAAAGTGCTTTAAAAGGGTGATTTATAAGTAAAAAAAAAAATCTAATACGCTCTTGGAAGCAGATGAATAATAGAGTCATTAGCAAAAACACCAACCCCACTCCAGGTTGGAAACTGGAAACAGCAGTATTTCAAAAGCCTGAAAGATTTAAGCAGGGCAAAAGCTGACATGGTACAACACCACCCTCACCCTTCTGCCTTCACTTCCAGCTGAGCCACTCCCAAGAGCCCACAGTGGGAAACATGCTGCCCATGGGAACCCAACAGTGATGATGCTGGAAGCAGACATCGCTTCAAGCAGAGACTTCTCCACTCCAGAAGACTGGACAAAGATGCACTTGGTTCCTGAGTACGGATAAACAAAAGCTTACATTTTTGCTAAAGTGAATTTAAGAATCAAGAGTCCGCAGCTTATAGCGCCAGTGTCTTTCCAGCCTTACTCTTCTGCAGTAATATCCATGGGCCATGTACAGCTTTGAGGTTAGCTGACCGTACCTGAAATTCTACCCAAAAAACTACAGAAATAACTTGTAAAAGCAACTGGATTGGCAGGTAGTTTGGAATAGGCAGGAACTCAAAGTTCACATACAGATGAGAAGCCAACTCATTTCCCATGCTCATTACTCACTTTACTATTTTCAGGTAGTAGTGGTTCCTAGTGTTCTACAAACAGCATGTTCTACAGCTCCAACCTGACACAAGGTAACTCCTCACTTTATATATTCAACATTTATCACATCATCCACCTCAGCATTATATGATGAAAAAATCAAAAATGTATGAGCTGAAATTTGGAATAGAATCATAGTGCTCAATAGAATACTATTTCTTGACACTGATATTTTCTGCATATTTTGAATAAGTTAGCTACTTACCAGGCAGCACAGTGCAAAAATTCCCTTAATTTGAAGGTCTAATATATTTACCATTATTTTAAGAAAATTGAGTTTTTCAAGAAACATGTTTGCTAGTACATATTTTTAGTGGCATAGTCTTCCACTTCAAGATACTGAAATATTTTACTTTTAATATTTGCATTAGTAATGGTAAGGAGTGAAACATGAGAATTTGGTCTTTTCCCCCCTACTCATTTCCTGCTAGTGAGAACCATCCACTTCAGGAGCACCATTTCTGTGTATCTTATCAGTGCATCTCTAGTAACTAAAGAATCATACTATTAACAAAATTAATAATTTCTTTCATATTATTAATAAAATTAAGGCTGTCAAAGTTTAAAGGCTACAATTTCATAACCCCTCAAAGGAACACTCCATCTCTAGTAACGAGAATAAATTTATATAGATATTCCACTTATACCTTACTGAATGAGTACTGGAAGAGAATAACTTCTAAAATCTGGGATAAAATAACGCTGAACTTCTTCAATATTCTACACAATTTCAAAGGCCATCTTCCCACATTGCTTTCCTCCCATTTTTGTTACTGAACAACATCAAAATTTTGAGAACAAAAGAATATCACATCAAGAGTTCCCTTTAATTCCATGGGCTTACCATCACTATAATACCACTGCCATGCCTTACACATACAAGTCATCTCCTTTCAAATACTAAGATGTGCATCATTCAGCTAGCAAGTAAGTATCAAATTTGATCTTCCTTTGCCTATGCAACATTTAACCCTTAGTTCTGATCTTTAGATGTTTATAAATTGTGTAACGGGGGTTTAAAAACATTTGGAAATTGGATTACATTTTGCAGCAGTTACATTTTACAGATAGGCTAAGAGTTCTGAATAATTTTACAGATTGCCAAGCAACACAGACTCATGTTTGCCATGGCAGAATGATTCCATTAGATCACATCTGCCTTAAACATCAAAACACATTTCCCCACTAATGAACTTCAGACCAAAGTTTTATATCCATCATGTGGTTGAAATAAGTACAATAATGCCTGAGGTACCACTGAAGAGTTCAGTGGTGGATATGCAGGAAACTGAGCAAGACTAACATTCTGCTGCTAAGTAGAATAGATGATGCTTATCAGAAATATCTTTAAAAAGTGAGCCCAACATTGTTACTCCAGAAAGATAAGCACCATTTTTGTATCAGACAAAAGATTTCTCATTTCTATTACCTCCTTACCACCAATACCTCTGCTGAGCTTGCTACAGTAGGACTAATTTCTCTAACACAAAAATCTTCAAAAAAGATTCCCATCCAATGCAGAAAGCTGCATTTGTATCATTTATGGTTTTACAAGTAAAAAGTTACTACAGGAGCTACACTTCAAAATGATTAGCATTTAGTGTTAACTCTCAGATCATGTTTTAAGTGAGTGTAACAAATATATCAGAACATTCTGAAGTACAAAGGATTCCTAAAACTGCTGTCTTATTAAAAACCACAGACCCAAAAGAGTTCCAGAATCTTTAAATGCAAAAAGGACAGAGTTAACACAAAGCTTAGGGTAACACATTAAAGCTGCTGAGGGCATTTCTTACATTTTCAGAGCCCAAAATGCAGTAGTAATACAAATGAATATAATATGCTTCATCATTCCAGCATGCATCTTTGAAACATTAACTACAGAGATATCATTTCTGCTGCAGATATTACATGTCAGAAAACATACCTCTATGTCCTGTATTATCTTTGGGTATAAGGACCTGTAAAATGAATTTGGGGGGCCATCTGTTGGTCTGTTTTTAAACAGGTACTGATCCCTAGAAAGAACCAGAAACATATTTTTCAGTTTACCACAAAGAAACCAACCTGCAAAGGAATTCAAAATCTGCACAGAACAAAAACTTACAACACATTCTTACAGAATACTTGTAATAATTTTTAGTATTGAAATTATAACCCTTGTGACTTTACAATCTGACAGCTGTATTTCAAAAGAAACAGGTGTTTTCCTTATGGCTTTCTGATTGAGGGTTCTTTCTGCTCCTCAAGGCTTTGGCCAGCAGGGTGTCCTCCTCTTGCACAGCTTCTTACACCATGCCTTGCACTTTCTTATGCACACCACTAGAGAGCACAGAGAAACAGGTTCCTAAAGCAGAACACCTGATACCTTCACATATCTTTGTGAAGGATGAAAAGCTCTTTGCTGCTGCTGCCACAACAGTCCACAGAAGGGATAAGGACTGCAGCGATACTCACTATCAATTGCTCTCTGGTGGAGCTCACAATTAGCTCAATCTATCAAGGAGCACACAGTAAGAAATGAATTACTGTCTTGGTACTTACCAACACCTTCTTTCTGACAGTCCCTTCCACAGCGGATCTGTGCGTACCATTCTTTCAATCAATTTTTTCCATAGCATTCCCTCAGAAATGACTCTCTGCCACTCCTTACATACCAGCTCTGCTGCACAGAGTGATCTGGCATCAAGATAGGAAAGGATGTTTTCTGCTATGTGATCTAAGCCTTGCTCTACAAAGAAACAAAAGCAATCAACATGTCAATCACTTCACAGTAAACTACTAAACACGTTTTACAGTACACTGAGAGAAAACTAACACAGCTTCATTTAAGGCACTGGAGCAGATGTGATTATTCATACCATACACAGAAGCATCAGTTTCAAATTAATCCTACAAGGTACACCAAAATATCTACCTCCTTAGTCCTTTCCTACTACTAGACTGTCCCATCTTCGCAGAAAGAATGAGAGCAAACTAAGCTTCACCACTGCACATCAGCAGCAGAAAGCATTTTGCTGCTTCTCAGGACAGAATCCTGGATGTTTTAGGCACATAATCCATGGGGCTACATGGTCCAAGAAGCAGGTATTCCTCAATATCTGTAATACAAGGTTGTAAGTAATATCGATTCCAGCTGCCTTACGTGTAACATTAGATAACTCAACCTAGCAGAAGACAGACTCTACAGCAACAAACATCTCCAGGAGAAGCATTAGCAAAGACTGAAAAAAAAAAAGAAAAAAAAAAGATTAAGCATGGGAACCTCTTTTGTATTTCAACTCTACAATCTACAGGTGCCAAGGCCTCTCCTTAATTTTGGATATGCACCATGCCCTTCAGCCTGATGTAAGCAAGAGAAAGCAGTGGAAATGCATCAGACAAATTTATTATATGGACGCAGAGCTTTGACACCTCAGGCAGTTATGCTGATTCATGGGTGGCTGCCACCAGCCTCCATGCTCAGGGAAGTTATTACCAATGGGCAACACCAGCAGAGGAGGGCTGCAGTTTTCCTGCAGCCACAGAAAAATACAAGAGGAATAATTTTTTTAAAACAACGTCAAGTTTAACATAATCGTATTCAGTGCAGCACTTATTTGTTGTCCCAGCAATATGATTGTTTCTAAGAATCAACTAAAGCCTGCTCAGGATCACCAGAAGTACTTCTGAAATAGTGACAGATGGTAGCTCAACTTCTGAACCATACATGCTAGCCCAAAGTAACTCTGGTTTAGCTTCAAAGATTTCACTGCATATATAAAACAGCCATAATAGCAAACAGTATCTTTGCATCTCCTCTTCACCTGCTGGGATAGGTTGTGGATGCCCCATCCTGGAGGCATCTAAGGCCACACTGGTCTGGTGGTTGGTGACCCTCCACACAGCAGGGGGTTGAAACTAGATGATCGCCGTGGTCCTTTTCAACCCAGGCCGTTCTATGATTCTGTGATTCTCCCAGCCCTGAGCACACCATGGCAGAACAGAGGCACGTGTTTGCCTGCTGATCACACAGCCTTTGATGGGTCAGAGAACAAGTTCAGCAATGTGCACGGCAGAACTGTAAGCAACATGCCACAGCTCCAACTGAGAGCTCTTAGGAAGTACTGAGATGTCACAGACACAACATCTGTATGGAGACTCTCATACCCTAACTCCACCTGCAGCATAAGGCATGACAGCAGTAAGCCAATATGCAGTAGTTAATAGTGGACTGGAGAAACACTGACATTTTGGATGATCCTAACTACCAGAAGCAGCTTAAAACCATGCAGAAGCCACTTATGTAACATATTCCACTAATTCTAAAATAGCAAGCAAATTTCTCCTGTTCATATTTCAACTCCAATACCTCTGGTCCAACAAGACATCACTGGTAGGTTTCCCATAAGCTCTCAATTGCTACATGAGAAACCTGAAGTAACTACATTTTCATAGATAAGGTAGGCCAGTTGGTCACACATGAAAAACAACTTTCAAAGTAGGAGATGATCATTTTTTATTTTCCACTCTCTCTCACGATGACCTACTTCAAAATACTTGGGGGAAAAAAAACTTTTTTTTTTGTAAAGAATTAAAGTGCTCCTTAAGTCCTCCCGTGCTCTGTACATGGGCATAGCCTTCGTAAACTTGAGCAGCAGTGAAAAGAAAACAACACCTGCAGCTGAAGAGCACCTGGTTCAGTTCTCCCAAACAATTCAGAGAACTACAAAAAGGCAGCTCCTACAATATTTTCAATGCCAGTCATAACAACAGACTCCAACAACTGAATGGTGGCAAGGTCTAAGCAAGCAGGCTCTCGAACCCAACCACTTCCAAGCCAGGGAAGCCTCACCCAGAAACAGACCTCAGGGTAGCTATGAGCAGCAGCACCTCCTGCACTACCAGCAGCTTGTATTGGTACACATTGCGAAAGTTGCTCCATCCCAACCTTGCTAGTATCTATCAACTTAAGGATTCTAAGCACTGTTTACTTAGGGATACATTGAAGTTACTGTGATTTGGCAACTTTCCCAAGGATTCTCAGAGCAGTGTAATCATGGCAAGGTCCTTTCTCAAAGTTAAAAGCACAAAACCATTGGGAATTGAGATGATAACTCCACTCACAATGAAAAGCAAAGGACACAGCTCGTGAAAACAAGACAGCTCTGCTGAGTAAGCAGCTCTCTGATGCTGAAGGTTACAGGTGCTACCAACAGGGTACACAGCTTGCAACAAAACTAACTTAAGAACAACATGGTGGTGCTCAAACAGCACAAGGATCAGCCTATGTGGAGGACACGGCTGTCAGGTACAGCTGTAACACTCTAATCACAAACAACAGTTGTCTAAGTGTTTTCCCAGCACGGCGTTCTGAAAAGGAAGAAAGTTTTCCACATGAAGCACTGAAGTTCCCCAAGCAAACAGTGCAGAGGATATGGCAGTTAACTGCTGTTACCTGCAAACACTACCCACAGAGCAACACACCAAAGTCTGTGTACAAAGTGGAAGAGCTCAGGGTTCCCATTTCACTACACCGTTTCCCTTTTCAGAGCACCCTGCTCTCCCTCTTGAGACCCAGTTGGTGCTTTTGCTGTTCTCCCAGCACAGGTGCCATGGTGTGGGGCTGCAGATGCATTATGATTTGCACAAGGATCTTTAGGCAAGTCATTAGGCAATAAGAAACACTAGGAAATTGCAGAACTGATAGAATGGCCAGGATCAGGCTGCTATGTTTCAAGCTTAAAAAGGGAGGTAATCATTGATGCCAACGGAATGTCTGTAAAACAGCAGGACAAGAGCACTGACTTTCAGTGCTCTGCCATCCCATAGCTCCAGGATGCTGGCATGTCTCTGCCATGTGAAAGATGGGTTTAATCAGCTGCAGCCTGCCTGAAGAGCAGAGGCACACACAAAGCTAATCTTTTCAAATGACCTTAATTTTTCTTTATGTTAGAGGAATAACCCACTCCAGCTATGCCTAGGTTCCATAAAAGCCAGCAGCATGTGAATGATGACAGGCAAATGTTTCATCATCTGCACCTTAAAGGTATGAAAGAAATCTTTTACTTGAGCATCTGAAAGACTGCAGGTGAACGAGCAAAAGAATCAAAGTTCATAGAATAACCAAGTTGTACCACCAAGGGAACAGCTGTCCTTAGCAGGCACATTCTGGTCGGAGTATCACCATGTATCTCTTGTCACAAAGATGGGACAGCAGGATCCATGCTGAACAAACCCTCCTACTGGATGCTTCTCTAATTCCAGGCCTGAGAAGTGTAATGCTGCCAGACTGGCTAAACTTCAATAAAAAAAAAAAGAAAATCACCACATAGGCATACTAACATTCACAGATGGGCAAAGTTAAATGTTTTTAGCTAATTAGTTGTAAGCAAACCCCGAGTCTGCCTTTTTTTTCAACCACACACTCAAAAAGGAAGGGTATGAGACAAAGCATCCATGCTGGCACCCGACTGTTGCTGTCACCTTGCTCACAGCTCTCAGCAGTCTCTGAAATGTAGAGACCATGGAAATGCCAGGTGCAAAGTCTCACTACCCAAGGCAGAACATGACAGATAATGCAGGACGTTCAAGCAATGTTCATACACACTTATACCACCATAAAGTTTATCTGTTACTGCCATCTCCTGGCAATGAACTAAATAATTACCTCACCACAAAGCAAGACAAGACTGCCAAGGAGCTGTAGAGTTACCAATAGTCAGTCCAATAAAAAAGACATACTGCAAAGCATCCTCTGAACTGAACAATCCACACACTGGCCTCAGCCCCTATTCTCCCATACTTAGATCATCTTTCAGAAAGCACCACATAAAACTAGTTCTGCTCTGAGCAGAACTGAAATGTCTTTAGAGTGAGGAGGGCAGTACCCCTTGCTTTCCAGCAGCAGATTAAGCATTTTAAAACCAAGTACAAGCAGCAAACAGCACACTCCTTTATTGGAAATCCATACGTACTATTTGAAATCCTTTGTGTAAGAATTTCAGTGTCACTTAGGCAGTTTGGGGAGTTTGATTCCCACTGCTGTTTTGAGACTACCAAAGAGCATCAGGTTCCCAGTCACGATGGCAGGCAGCAAACACCACGCTGGCCCTCCATCTTATCTCCTGTGGTGCTAAGCAAATACAGGATTGACAAACTACTTTCCCTACTTAAAAATGTGATCAAGTAATGCAATGTGTACATTCATCAGCTTTGCTTGTCCAAGTGCTTTCAGTTTTCTTTTCCTTGTGAAATACTGTTTTTTTTCAAAATGACAGTTCTCCAGATTAAATGTCATTGTGCAGAACTGATTAAGAATAATGACAAACAAAAGCAGAAATGTTTTGTAATTGTTCGGTCTTCAAACAGCTGCATTTGAAAAGGCAGTAACACTCCTTTGGAAAACAGTTGCGAAAATCTGAATCCAAATCCACCTCATGCTGCAAGTCCAGAAATGCAATCAAATTAAGCAGACAACTGCAACCTCATTAAATAAATATGATGGTTACCAGACAATAAAATCTACTTTAAGGTATTCAAAAGACATGGTGCACTTTCTAGCAGGCAATAAAGCCAGCCAAGCTGAGGACAAGGCAGCAACCAGCTGCCAGCACACTGACCTCAAATTGCAGCCTGAAGGACCAGCAATCCCTCCAGAACCTGGGCTGTCCTTGAGGGGAATGATGTGCAGCTACTTGCTGACTGCCCACGGATGCTGTGAAGCTGGTGATGGCTGCTGTGCTGCTAGGAGCCACCATCCCTGCTCCTTAGGTGAGAGGAGCAGCAGGCAGCACAGCTCTGGCCAGCTCAGGTCCTCCTGCTGCATGTGCAGAGCCCACAGCCATTGGGTTGGCACCCATATCCTGCTCAGAATCCTATTTTTTAAAGAGCATTTCACTGCAATACAGCAAAACTTTATGGCTGGAATATGGCTCCTAAGGAGAGCAAGTAATCTAATTAACTGCAAATACACCAAAAGCCTTCTTTCCTAGTAAGACTTGTTTTCTTCAGGCTAGGAATGCTCTCAAGAGGGTTAATACCTAAGCACCCATCAACAAACAAATGCTTTAGGAACAAGAGGACCTCAGGCCTGGTGAGTCTGAAGGCAGGAGAGGAGCTTGGCTGCTTCCTATCACTTGACAGAGCCAGAACTGCTGCAGACTCCTGCATGTGGTGCAATCCTAGTACCAAATACTCATCAATTTTGCATTGAGTTAACCGAGGCTTTTCATAAAAGCTAGCTGCAATTGGCTGCCACAGCTCCACAACAGCAAGAATGTCTCTACGCATCCCAGTCTGTGGCAGCACACCTTACACTTCAACACATACAAACTGCTTTTTATGAAGCCCACGTTTCACTGAGTTTTAAGGACCAACTGCAAATTACGAGGTAGAAACCCTCCATTAGCAGACACATAATTTCTACAATCCTGTATAATGGTTAAAAATAGATTTGTAAAGGTCAGCAATGAGTGCTTTCTGATGCTGTTATAATACAGCAATCTCAACTCCTGTGAGTACACACAGCCTTGAAAGCTGCATGCAAAGCACAAATGTACAACCTCTTTGCTTTGCTACCAAGCCTACTTACAATTCTGCCTGCTTGCAAAGACATGCAGATTAACCTCACTCACACCGAAGCCATGTCAAGTGAAATATTTATGTGGAGTTGCACAGTGGAACCAGCTTGTTACACTGCAGCTCAGATGGGCCTGTGATAATCCCATCACACAATGTGCAGGACTTCATTTTCAGATAACTTCAAGCCCGAAGCAGCTGCAAATGCCTGTTTTACATTAAAAGTCTGTGAATATTCAGTTTGAAAAGCAGTTTCCAAATTAGGGACTAAAACATTTGAATTTTCTTCAGTAAAACGTATCCAGCATTTATTGGTGTGCTTACCTAACAGCAAATCATGTTATTCCCAATCCTCACATCTCTTGCAGAGCTTCTGCAGTTTTACAGAAGATGGTGAAAAAAGCCAGCTGTTGTTCATTAGAGGTACCAGATGAAGATTTGCTTGAATTTCAACAGTAAATTAAAAAAATTAAAACCCATGGGGATTTCCAAGCTCGAAGTGCAAATATCACCTTGTGTGACAATGGAACCCAAACGTGGGATGTCAGCTCTCAGAGCCTGGCCAACATTAGACACAAAGCAGTCACTGGGATCGTGCAATTGTGCTGACTTTGATCGGTGCAGAGATCCAGGTGGGACCTGCAGCATCAGCTGTGTGCCAGGCTCATGGCAGCACGAAAGAAACTGAACACAGCCTGACCTGCAGGGACAGAGCCTGCAGACTAAACATTCTGCCACTTCTTGCAACAAAGTTCACCAGAATGACCACTTTTTCCACTGAGGCAAAGGAAAGCCAGACACTGCCAACACTTTCCATCTTCCCTGTGTTCTCACCGGAGTGAAAATCAGCAGGGACAGTAGCAAGAAGAAATGATTTCAATTTAAAACACAGGTTTAGCTTACTTCAGATCAGTAGAACTACCTTTTAAAAAGCAATACCGATCTTCTGTTTAACATGATGTCATTCTAATGTTGCAATGATTTCAATCATGTCAAATGAAGCTCTTGGGAGCTTCTACACATCTACACAAAAACAAATCCAGATTCCCTCATGGCTGATGGAAAGGGAAGAATTAACAGCTCTTTCCTTCTGCTCTCACAGGAACTGATGTGCCTATTGCACCTCAAGAAGTAATAAATGCACACCAGCAGCGCAGAGCTCCCAGCTAAATGCTGAAGACTCTGTGTGCAGACAAAAGGCAACAAGCATCACTATTTTCTGCAGAGGTTTCTCAGACAGGTGCCTGCATGCAGGGCAGCTCCCCGCTCAGCAGCCCGGCCAGCAGCACTGCAGCACAGCACCACATGAAAACTTGGCTTCTATTGGGCATTCTGGGAAACTGCATTTTCTACCACAGGTATCTGCAGAAAAATAACTTTTTCAAATGAATAAAAACATGAGGCGGCTGCTGATTCTCAGAGTGTTGTAGGTAGTGTCAAACATAAGCTAATCAAAGTAAAATAACTGAAAACAGCAAATCATCCCCAGCAAAGCATCTCTTTTTACAATACCACCTTTAAGAAAGGCTGACACAGGAAAATAGAATAGTTTTCAGTATTCACATCTTCCAGACAACAGAAGTTGTCAACACAAATATCTATTTGTTACGTATACAAACATGGTAAAAACAACTGTCAGCAAGGAAGCTCCCAGAGATGTCCCAGCAATACAAATGTAATACAAAAGAACCATGCATCTCCATTATATCTGCCTTGACAAGTAACATAAAAGCAAACAAAAGTATAATTGAAGCTCATGCTTGCACATGACAACTGTGATGGTCTATTTCACTTCATTTTTTTTTTTTTTTTTGCTACATCTCAGATATTCCCCTAGAGAAATCAGGAAATCAAGAGCAAAGCAAGCTGAAAGAAACATCCGTTACTGAAAGGAGAGCTCTCCAGTTAGAATGAGGAGCACCTTTCTATGCACATTCCTTGATAAGCTAAGTCTTCTTTTAAAAGAAATTCCATGAAATGGAGATGTGAGAGAAAAGGCAATTTCCTCCCATTCATGGCCTCCATTCATACTTTTAAGACTTTCTTCTTTTAATAAGAAGGAAATAGAGCACATGAGATTCTGTATTATTTCGTGTCCTACCCTATATTCTTCATCCTCCTACTTCATCCCTCTGGCTACTATGAATTTAATTTCAACCATGCTTGACAGACGAGTCAAAATCTCATCACTACCTCCAAAAGTTGAATTCATCCAAGTTTTGGGAAAAATATATACATATATATATATATACACACACAAACACACACATATATACGTATATATAGCACTATAGAGAACAGAAACCCACAGCATCCAAGCTACAACCATAATATTAAAAACCAAAATAGCAGCATTCAAAACTTAGATACCAGAGAACTTGTAAGGGTCAAGCTGAAGGAGGAGCCTTCCTCACCTGTGCTGGTAATTACCAGATTACCAATTTCCAATCCTTTCCATTTGTATCCCCTCTCACTGCTCATGGCTGTGGCGTTCATGGAATAACAGCCATAGACCACTCACTGCAGGTGTCAGTCTGTGCTATTTTACTGCCAGTGGCAAATAGAACACATTTGACCACTTATGTGATGTATACTTCTCACGCTGAGAATGACGTCCACATATTTACCTTTCAGAAGACGACTTTTCATAAATCAATGGGAAGAAAAATCCACAGTTTTATAGGAAATTAAAAGTGAAAGATTTTGTGTACCTACTTATTAATGCTCATATTTTTCAAAGAAATGAATATCTGAAGTGTAAGAATATATTTCATATTTGAACTGTTGACAAAGTTTTACTCTGGTTTGTAGCACCGGAGGTTCTCAACAACCGAAGAAAGGAATCAAAGCTGGACAACACAAAAAAATCCCCAATTGTTTCTGCTCTCGAGTCAGCAACAAGATAAGACAAACCAGATTCGTTTATCTGTGCAGGCAGCTTTTCATTCAAGATTTGGAAAACGTGCCGTTCTTGAGGATATACTACTCAAACTGCTCTTCGTGGAACAACACTGGCATCCAGTGGCCAATTCAATTAATCACAGAAGCAAATGACTCAGCTGCCCTCCTGCATTTCCTCTGACTAGGAAACATCACATTATTTAAATCAGACAGTCTACATCTGGAGGATGTTCAGAAAAGTCTGCATACATTCCAAGTATCAGAAAAATGCTTTCATAAATATGCTTTTTGTAAAATGAATATTAACTTACCTGGTAACGCTGTGATGAAGTCCCGTTGTAACATGGGCTTCAAGTAAGAGTTAATATGTCCATGCTGATAGTGACACATTCGTGAAATAAGGTGTTCCACAAATTCAACCTGATCTGATTCAGACCACTGGTCAAAATATTTAATACACAAGTCTTTTTCCTTTTCGTAGTTTCCTTCTGATGGTCTTTTTCTTGAGACAATCACAGATGAAGTTCCATTACTTATCTGTTTTTAGAAACAAAATGTCAATACTTAAAATGAACAAAAACAGCCTTCTAAGAACTCACCAATAAAGAGAACGTGAGAAGAAACAAAGACAACAATCAAACTTTTAAACATTGTTCAAGCTATGTGCAATGCCATGCGCACCTCATCTTCCATAGATAAGGCCAAGTGAAAGGCCCTTCTTCCAAACCAGGAGTTATGCTGAAATCTGAATTCTCCTAGCTCTTAGAATTTTAACATCAAAGACCTTACCTGTTTTAGAAATTTTTCAAACTAAGTGGTTCCTACTACACATGCCAGTTTGTCTTTGCTGCACGCTGCAGCCTGCCTCCACAAATGCTTTACAGATGCTCTAGCAGTTAAAATTATACACACTCAGTTATGTACAAAAGCTGGCTACAACTTCTCCAATTAACATAAAAATCATCAAGACCCTCCATGTCACTGTCGCACTGTTTGCCCACAAACAAGGCCCAAGAATGATGTGATGTCAAAAAGCAATGCTTGTTTTGTTTCTGAAAAACAGCTCAATCAATGTTTGAGACATCCATGTAAAATAAATCCTGGGAGCTTCAGTGACAAATCAGGATGCTTCAGAACACCACCCCAGGACTTGCTACTTATCAGCAAAGAGAACCAAAGGCTCACGCCAGGCTCTTCTGAGCTCTTTATGACATCAAAAAGGGCTTCTGAGGCTCTTCTAAATATTCCCAAAATAGTCCAAAGCCAACTGGTTGCAGCTCCTTTCTATGCACAAGTGTTGGATTTTTTCTTTTAAACAAAGGTCACCTGCTCTGAAAAGCTGGACTGTATTCACACATATCCTCTGAAGCACAACTGTGACACTTCAAGGTCAGCACAAACCACAGAATTTAAGATCTAATCATTTCTCAAGTATTGTTCATTGATGTCATCCTTCACTTGAATACTGAGCTAATTCGAGGATGATAGAGTCAACCTACATATAAGGATGATTACACATCTGCAGACACAAGTGTGTGGAAGCTTCCCAAGGAAAGCCATGGCCCACCTCTCCCCATGCACACACCTACCTGCCATAGGGTATTTTTCTTTGGAGACTCATCTTCATTCTGATCCTCCATCACTGATGTGTTCTAGGAAAAACGGAATTAGGATTTTAATTTTCTGTTTTTCATACTATGGCAATTCCTTGCTGTACAAGCATGATGAAAAAGCAAATTAATTGAACGGGTAAAATTAATTTTCCCAGTGAATGGAATTATCAGAGATTCCTGGCCACAAAACCTGTGTCTTGTAAATAAATTCCCCTTTTAACTGACAGGTTTATCAAACCCACTTACTGTAAAGACAACTCCCCAGCCCCTCTTCAATTTCTTTGAAGGGTTTTCATGCAGCCTTTCAACGCTTTTCTCAGTGGGAAATAAATTCACTTGCATCCTACTCAGGCCAAAGTAATTAAACCTGTCAAAGCAATCAACTAGCACTTTCTGCCAAAGCAAAATCGTACGCATCTAGTTGAAAATTAAAAAAAAAAAAAAAAATCATGATATTCTGCTTGCATGCAATAGAGCATTAACTCCTCTTTGCAGACCTAGCTCAGCACGAGAGGAGGGATCACCCTCTGCAGAATGTTCCTGCAGCTTGCAATCAGTTTGTGGCCATGGCCCCTTGGCAGTCAGCAGCTTCCTTCACCCCAATTTCAAGGCTCGCCCTCCATCACCGCTGCTCCTCCCTGCTCCTCATCTTCCCTTTTGCTCGAGAACAACAGATGGAAGAATTTCTAGCAACATTCAGCCACAGATACTTCTTTTTAGAGGTCACTTGAATTTATAAGAATCTTTCCTTCTTTTAATTACCTGCTCACTTCTGCTGTCACTACCCAGCTGCCATTTCTTTCTGTCTGCTCACTGGTACTCCACACTTGAGCTTCCCACCAGCCTGCCCTCCCTACTGCACACTGAATAACTGCCAGGTGGCCATCAAGAAAACCTGAAGGTCTTAAAACATTGCCTGTATTTTTTTTTTAATCCTTCTTCCCCTCTCTCAGCAGAAAGAGGACAATATACTCCAGTCAAACACACAATGAAATAAGTCACACATCTCCTTTACTCTTGTCATTGCTGATTATGGTTTAACTCCTTAACAACTATATTCCCAAATTAAAACATTGTTCCACATCAATACACATTTGTCACTTCGCCTCCCTATCCCTCTCTTATTAGGAGTGAACCACACCAAAATCAGCAAACTTGAAACCAAAAATTAACAGCATTATCCCTACAGGCAAGCCCTGCTCCACCACTTGACTCCAGGGCTGGTTCTGAAGAGTACCCCGAGCCTCTTCTGCCTTGCTGTTACATATGAAAATCACATCTCACACAAAGGGAAGACGTCATTATGAAAGCTGTCTGCTAGGTGATAGAATGCTCCAGTCTGTCTGGTGTTGGCACACACAGCAACACCAAATACAGGCCCAGGAGATGCAAGCAGGGAATCCAGAATTGGACAAAGGCAGTAAAGGTACTTTTGCTACTCCCCGGATAGGAATGTTCCAGTACTTCTGAACACATAAGAACAGTAACACTGGAGAAATAAGCCCCACTTCCCAATTATGGTCTCTGGAGAAGCACGCCCTGGGCCCTGTCAGCCCAGCACCAGCACAGCTGTGCCCATGAGACTCCGTGCTGTACAGCTCACTGCAGCCCGCCTGGCACCCAGCAGGTCCAGGCCAGCTAGCCTGGCCCAAAAGGCAGGCATGGCTCCAGGGAATTACGCCAGGCACGTTTCTCAGTTTAAAAATCAAAAATATTAAAATGCTACTTAAAAATTCCCATATGTTGTTGACAGTGCTTTCAGTTAGCATGTACCTAAGTGAGTAAGGAACATCACAGTTTCTTTTGATGTTTAAGGTTAAAAACACGCACTGATTCTATGAGCTGCCACTACCCAGGAGCCAAGAAGAGGAACTCTCAGGGAGTATCAAACCTTGAAGTTTCTCATTGCCTGCCTGGCTTGGGTACAGCAGAAATCCCACATTCTATCAGTTCAGCCCAACCTCACTTTCCTTCAGTAGGTCACGGAGTGTCTGCCACTGCTTTCTTCTGCTTCTTCACTGGGAAAATTCTCAGAGGTCACCGTTATCTTTTTCCAGGATGTAGGCTAAGAATAAAGGTCTAAACACAATGCATTTCATTCCAGGAACACACAACAGAGCTACAACAGAGCAGCACTCTAACACAAAGCGTACAAGAAAAACCTGACGAAGATGTTCAGACTTCCACACTGTGCTACTGACTACAAAGCAAGCTCTTATTACAGAAATTCTGCTCTGGCTCTGACGCTGCTCGGGTCAAGAGTAGCAGGCTTTCAGGGGGTGCTGTGTCCCTGGTGTGCACACTGCTGTGCTGGAGCAATAGGAAGGCTGTGTTTCTTCCATCCCTCTCCACTTGTCCCTCGTCCTTCAGGGGGTCAGCATGGTTCTGCCCAAGGACAGTTTCTTGGTTCCACAGCAACTATCTGGCACACACAGCAGTGCTGCTGACTGGCACATCTATGTCCTTTCAAGATGAGGGCCACGGAGATGAGGGCAGACTGCATGGATCCCCTTCTAGCTGGAAATTTAACTCTGCCTATGAGACCGTACTTAACACACAGCTACGTTACTTTAATGGTATCAACTACAGTGTTTATTGCCTTCTCCTATCCTAAACTTGCTCCAAATTGCTCCCTATTATATCTTCTCTTCCTAATAAATTCTTTCTACTTCTGCCCTGTACCGTATTTAACTTTTCTGGTTATTCTCCAGATCACATACGTCCCAACTCATATGGGATTTACACACTGTACCCAGACTAACACATCACCAAGACTTAACTGCAGAACACAAGATGCCCAGATGGATCCTGTCCTGGTGCCAGGAAGAAGCAATCAGACAAGTCTAATTTGTCCTATATATCCACAGTACTCATCAGAAGAATTCCAGAACTCCTAACAGCTGGTGTCACCGGTCCTCGCATGGGAAGGTCTCCAACCATTAGGCAAGAAGGCAGATAGGCATCTACAAGTTGGACGCTCCTCCTCATCATGCCATTCATTCCCTGCTCTCCATCTGCATCTTGCTGCCTACCCCACCCAGCCTTGACACACAGCTACCCACTGCCCTCCTGCACAGCTTCCCAGTAGCTCCCGAGCACCAGTAACATCATCCACACCCTGTTTCCCCATGCAGCAAGCATGGGTGCAGGCAGTGAGCTCCTCCCTGCTCAGCTGTGCAGCCCTGAGCCCCTGCAATGGGGCTGAGCAGCGCTCACGGGCAGACAGAACAGGCAGGATGTGCTACTGCCAGGATCACAGAAGCCCAGCAGCTCCTCACAATAGAAACTGAGCTTCTGAATACTGTCAATTAATCCTGCTTCTAAGTTCATTTTTTCCAGAAATTCTTGTTAACTTACTCATAGCTCTTGCAAAATTAGAATGATATTTCAAACCAGCTGTCATTCCTTAATTAGTCAGCCTGGAACAAGCACTCTCCATCCCCTACCAGGAAAGGCAGCGACAGCGACGCAGTAACAATGGGTGTGAGCAGACATTTCATGCTGCCCTACGGTCACGCTCAGCTGAATAAAGTCACTCCATGAACAGCCCGTCTCCATTCCCACTAACAGTAAATCAGTAGCCGCAATGAAGTGCACGAACTGTTCTCCGTGCTGCAGCATCCCATGTTCCTCTTCTAGCCCTGCAAGAACTCCAAGCTTTCTTGAACTTTTCTGCTCGCAGTGCTTCCAGTCCTTGGGATTTCCACCCTTCTGTGGGATGCAGGTGCACATGGCGAATGGGCTCAAAAGTTTCTTAAGGAGAAGAAAGAAATACTGACAAGCAACATCACTACGTAAAGCTCATTTCCTTCAGAAATCTGATTCCAAAAAGTTCAAAAAATAAAAACAACCATCAATGTTTCCAAAAGGGAAAAATATTGCAGGTATCACAAAACATCATAAATCACAGTGTCAATCAAGATCCTTACATACCTGATAGCAACTAAACTCTGGCATCTCCCCAGGATTTACAGTTCCACAGCTGTATAAATGTATGACACCAGGTACAAAAGCACCTCCATTTCCCTGCTGATGGATGCCAGCAAGGCAGGTCTTGCTTCCAGAACCCAAGAAAAGAGGTGCACCTTTCCCAGCAGAAAGCTATCTCGTCTTCTGCCAGCCGTGCTAGCTACAGACAGGTAGAGCCGAGAGCTCTGCACCACGTTTCTGTATCTGGGAGTGCTTTCAGACACTTAATCGACTGAACAGCAGCAGCACGGTGCAGCTTTGTTCTTTAACCCAGTTTTAGTTCCAGTACCGACAGAGCAATTACAGAGGTGATAGCAATAACCCTGGGAACTGGGACGAGACTCACAATCAGCTGCGGCAGCTCCCAGCCAGGCAAACAACATTGTTGAGACTCTCCAGTAACTCCTCCCTGCTGAAGGAGTATGAAGGAGGATGGATCCGTAGCTTTAGCCCAAACTAGACAGGAGCTGTACTACCTTGAGAAATGAAATAGCAGTATTATGGTTCTCAGCCATAATGAAATGGAAAGTGGTGACCAACAAGAACTTTCATTGCCCCACCGTTAGGTCAGTAATTCTGATCAGAAATCTAGTAAGCCAAATCTTTCAAGTTCTCATTTCTAACAAATTTCTCCAGCGAGTGGGAACTACTAGTTAAAACTACAAGATGAACAAACCGATCAAAGTCCTGATTTCCTTCAGCAAATCATGCCTACATTTAGCCTTACAGAAGCTGAAAAAATGACACAAGTAACTACATACATACTTGGATGCTCAGAAGTTGAAGACAGAGGCTAAAGCTGGCTCCCTGCAGACTCGCACTGCCTTCTGAAACCAGCTCTGCCAGGCAGGGACTGCTGAAGGCACTAATTATCAGCACCCAGGGGAGGAGAGGCATCCACCAGCCAGCACGACAATGGGACATCAGGAAGGGGATCAGGAAGAAAAGCAGCGAGACATCCCTAACAGCTCAAGTGGTGGGTGCCTCTCACGGATTCTTGCTTTTGAAATAGCCAGAAAGCCCCAGATGGCTTAAGAGTGCTTTAAAATGAATGCAAGTCCCTCTTTAGG